ACTGAAAATGGGAGGAGAGGAAAAATCCATTTTGGGCTTTCTTTCCCTTTCTTTCTTTCTCTTTTTTTTTTTTTCTTTTTTTTTTTTGTCTTGTTTTACTTTCTGCTGTGCTAGTGTGACAGGTTAAAACCAATGCATTTTAATAGTTGTATAATTCTTTATACCTGACTGGCGGTTGTGCTGCTGTGGCATGAAATTTTCATCTGAAAAGGCTTGTTTTGAATCTTACTGTAATAAGACTCAAAATCTGGGCGATCTCCAAACTGCACGTACAGAACAGATGTGCAGGGTAGGCTGAAATTTGTATCTACAGATCTATCAATCTTCAGAAAGTTTGTCTCAATCTCTTTGCGGTCCTTTGTGCCTGCAAAGATAAGAGGAAGGACTTGCCCTGGGACCTCTTCATTAGACTGGACATATACTACATATATGCTGCATGTTCTGGAAGCGATCTCAATTAAAAAAAATTATCACCAATCTGTCAGAAACATCTTAAGGAGACACTGCTGAAATTCTGTAGCAGTAGTTCAGCATGCCTCAGTTGCTGGAAATCTTAAATGACAGTCCTTATTCCAGTAGACTAATGCTGCGGAGCCAAACAGCGAGAAGAGCTGGAGTATTTGACAGTATTCACACAGGATCTGTCAGTATGAATGTTCAGAGGAAAACATGAGTGGCCTATGTTACTAAAACCATTAAGTAAAACTTAAAATGTTCACAGAACTGCTGCAATTTTTTGCGTGGGTGAGCATAGGAAGGAAAAGAAAACCCTGGCAGTGAACATGAATTCTTCAATTAAATTAGTCTGTGTATTTGAACTTCTCTCACCTTCTTTCTTGACTTCAATAAACTAAAGAAATACTAAAACTAGTTGATTTATAAATATTTGTATTGTACTTTGGTAACTGCTAGGTGTCAGATCTAGCAGAACTCCCGATCTGTGAAGGGTTTCAAACGGTAGGGAACGGTTTTCCTTAGTCCTTAGGAAAAACTTAATTCACGCTATCCAGTGCTGTCACTTAGTTGTTAACGTGCAGCTATTTTCTTCTCTGAGAAGGGATGTGTTATACTTCTTTCTGAAGGAAGAAGAAAGCTTTTGGGACTCAGGATATACTATTTCTAGATGACTTACATATAAAATGTTAAGAGGAAGGAAAAAAACCCTTACCAGTTCTGTAATTCACTCCAGTTTTTATATTTAAATAGGGTGGTTTCTGGCTTACACCTTGTCTCCGCTAACAGAAGTTCTGTAAATCATTTATTCCCTTCATAGCACTTCAGTTATTCCCTGGTTCTAGTGGTTTTGCAAAAATATTACTCAACTGTTGAAGCAGAAGATGAAATCTTTAGTATACTGCCTTAATTCTGCTAGGTTTTTCTCTCTCCCTTTCTCTCTTTTGCTTGCAAAGAGTTTGGGCTGTGCCTCAAGCTCAGGCCGCGGAGCCGAGGCCCTTGCGAGCTCCTTTTCGCCGTAAGGAAGCGAAGGCTGCGTGCCGGCACCATCCCTGCCCTGCGTTGGAGGGGGGCACCTTCGCTGCCCCGCTAGCACCCCTGTTTTGGGTTGCAGCCCCCAAGGCGACCCGTCACCCGAGGAGCCTCAGGGGCTGCTGGTGGGGGACAAGGGCCAGGGGCAGTTCAGCTTCGCTGCCCGGGCTTGTTTCCTGCCTGGGCAGGGTTGTGATATGAGATATTAGGGGGCAGTGGGAGAGTTTGGGGGGCAGGTGGGGGCCGGAAATGTTTTTGCTGGGGGGGGGGATTGCAGTGGAAATGGTCCCCTCGCCCTCTGGGATGCCTCATGGCTTTGAACGAGGGACCCTGGTGCATGGGCAGAGAGAGCTGGGCTGGCAGGGCGGGAGATGTGCTGGGACGGTGTTTTGGGGAGACAAGGGGATTGCTGACAGCTGAATTTGGCTGTGCCCCTGTCAGCGTGATGCTGGCGACGTTTGGGGCGAGGGCTGCGCTTGCAAAGCCTCGGAGCCCACCGGTCTAAAGAGGAAACTGGGAAACTGGAGCCCAGACAGCTTGCCCGGGGTCTGGGCTGGGGAAGGGGCAGGGGCTGCCTTGGGGGGGTCGTGCCGGGCTGTGC